CACACACACACACACACACACACACACACACACACACACAAAAGACGAATACCAAAAAAGAAAGAAAACGAATCAAAAAAATTGTGCCACGTGGGACAGCCACGTGCGGCGAAATCCTTTCCCACCCCCTACTTCCCCCAACTCTCCTCCCGCCGCCAGCTTCCCCCTTTCCCCTCCCCACATTTCTCTCTCTCTCTCTCTCTCTCTCTCTCTCTCTCTCTCTCTCTCTCTCTCTCTCGCGCGCGCGCGCGCTAGTGCATGCCTGTGTTGTCATGTTCGCTATGGACAACTCCACAAAAGGGGGCATGAGCCTGTGCCAGACTGTTTCATCGGATTTTCACCGACTCATCAGGAGGTTGAACCCCGACAGTCTGCCCAAGATGCATTTGCGTGCGTGTGTGTGATGTCACGTTCGATATACACATTTGAGAGAGAGAGCGCACCAAGCCCGTAGCACCCAGCACCAAGCACATAGCACCAAGCACCGAGCACGTAGCCCCGACCACCAAGCACCAACCACGATGCACACCGACCACCAAGCACCGACCACGACACGATGCACCAAAGCAGGAGAGAGAGTAGATGGGAGTATGCACAGGAGTAGGCGTGTCGAGCAGCCACGAGTTTAGGCGCGTCAAATAGGCACAGGTGTAGGAGCGTCGAGAAGCCCCGTGCGTCGAGAAGCCCCGTGCGTCGAGCAGGCTTGGGAATAGAGCGGGCGCCCACAAAAAGAGTGAAAATGTGGGTCGCTTCGGCGTTTTCATGGCTGGGCGGCCCTACCGGTTGTCCAAAGATCGCGCGGCGATCCAGGCCGTTACCAGCCCGACGGCCCCGATTGCCCCGCGATCTTAAAGTTTTAAGATCGCAGGGCAATCCGGGCCGTCGGGCTGGTAGGACCGCGAATGACCTCGATCGCTGCGCGATCTTAAAATCTTAAGATCGCGGGGCAATCCAGGCCGTCGGGCCGGTAGGCCCGCGGACGGCCCGGATGCCAAAATTCTCACATTAGCGATTTTAATAAGTGTAGGGAAATAAAAACCAAAGAGAAAAATGAAAAGAGCAAATTCTTGCACGCTACGTCAGCCCATCCATCACTATACATCCTCTGCAACGAACCTGCAGCCTTTTCGTATAAAATCCCTCATGGCAGTTGCCCGTTGTGTTGCTCTGGCCTTCACTCCAAATGCCACACACAACGCTGTTAATATTGCACTTTTCCCACCTGTGCATTCATCAACATGCAAGGAGGTCACAAAAATGCAATTACATCAGAGACCTCAAGCGGATCCTCCAGAACAAGAACTTCTTTCAAATGGTGCCGTAGCACGATGTCACTTTTTACTTTTGAGGCACCCCATGACACACGCAATGAACAATCGACAGAATTAGGGTTTGATCAGGGACAAACGACAATCGTGAGGGAGAGCTTTGTTCAAGGGAGAGGATGGGGCCGCTCCTACGTGACTGGCTGAAACGCAACCAAGCAGAGCATCAACATGTTCCCACACACATGTTAAGATGGCAGAAATGACAAGAGAGATCACAACAACAGACTGGCTAGGAAGATGCACAGAACCAAGAAGAACAGTCTCTTGCCCACTCTCCAAGTTCAACCAGTATCACACAAGAAGCCAAGAATCACAACCAAGTGTAAAACCGCCTTGAACAGACGTGAAGAAATTGAATTCAGCAAGTCTACACAGTCTTCTTCACAAAGAACACCACAGTGTCACCTTCTACCTGGCTGGGCTATGGCACCCAGCCCTTTACTACTGCACCCAATCCTACCAGTCTGCAGACCACCGGCACCACCTCGAAACCACCTCAGAAGCACTAGCGCCCCCACAGAACCCACTCCGAGGTGCCAACGCCACCTCAGAATCCACTCAGAACCAGCAGCGTCAGCCTTAGAATGATGAAGAACCTCCAGTTTGAAGAACAAGAGGAACGCCCAACCCTGCCGCAGAGCTGCTGCAGCAGCAGCCTGGCGGCGTTCACAAGAACACTAACCAAAAAGACCTCTAGGACTTTGTGGACCTACTCTATTTCTACTTCTACACTGTCGTACTGGACTGGACATTCCCTGGAAACCGAGTCTTATGGGTCGGTGTTTTGGCAGTAACAGCGGTAGAGGTCTGAGTTAAAATTGTGTAACAGCGTTCATGGATAAGTAAGATCCCATAACAAGATGCTCAAGAATACATGTAGTCTGATCTTGAAAATGGACTAAACCCCGTACCCAAGCACCACTAGGCTAACTTAAGTCTCTTCCTATTCCCTCTAGACGATGTCAATCCGTAGCCATGGTCTTCATGGATATGCTTTGTCACCAGTAGCAATGGAAGCAGGCACATATTCATTCCTAATAAAAGACAGATTTTCCAAATTCGACAAATTCATATCTTACCAGAAGTAGCAAAAAGATTAAACAAGCAATAGAAGCTCTCACCAACAGATGGGTTTCAGACTTTCAATTTCCAATTGCAAGTGACAGGCATGTATGATTCAGAAACGAGCAATGGCAACCCGTGATGGATAGGCACGGATTTGAACTTCAGGTGAGTTCAGGAAAACACCATGAAACAGGTTGAATAAATGAACATGGAAGTCCAGGAACTGCTAAGGCAGTTCAGCACTCTAGCCCAGTTGGATTGTGATGAGACACTTGTGCAAAGCAGCTAGTGTGTACAATGACGTGATTCAGTCAGCCACTGGCTAACACCAAGTGAGTACCATCTTGCATGGAAACCAAGGAAGTCCCTTGACTTCTGGTTAGCAGATTTAACAACCGCTTCACCATCTTGTTCATTAAGCCACAAGTACCTCCAGGCCTCTGCTTTCCAGCGCGGATATTACCTTCACACCCAAAGATCACAAACCGGCACTGGTGCTTTTTTCTTTCTTTTTCCTTTTCCAGTCCAGACCATTATGGTCCGGCGCACTGTTTGTCCAAAAATTGTGGTGGTCCACCAACTCGTGGGAAACCTTTGCCTGTGAAAGGTACTGGTGGTTTAAGGGTTTTTACAGTACAGTAGGAAGAAAGCCTGCAGAAAATCGTAGAAAAGCTAAGAACGACTCAGCAGAAGATTAAAAAAATAGAGCAAGAACATAAGCATATGCAATAAATCGCAGTTTCCCAGTGGGGCTGTACACTAAGTGTTTGGCTTCGCAGCTTGTTTTCTTGTTTTGAGCCGTGCGGGACTTGATCCCGTGACCTGTACTTTGTATGTGTTTTGTTTGTGAGTGTTGAGCCCTATGGGACTTGATCCCTGAGTCTATCACTAGTAGTCTCTGTTTGGTAGCCTTAGGCCATTCGGCCTTTTCCTTTTTCTTTTTTACCTTCCACCACCTCTCACCAACGACGTCCGTTGAAGAAAGCAGACAACGAATGCAGACTGCATTTGCAGTTTCTAAAATCCGCTCCAGTTTTATTTTAATATTTTTCGTCTTTCTCCTGATTGCATAAATCAAGTATATCTCTCCCTTGCTGTGGAATGCTGACGGTTGTGGGAAGGCTCTGTTGTGAGCCTGATCAGAAAAGAAAAGTTTGTGTTTCTGATTTGGTTGTGGGTTTAGTTAAAGTAATTCGTTGTCGGTTTTGGCTGCTGGGCTGAGCCCATAACCTCTCGTACTGTCTTTTGACATTTGGCACTAGCCTGTAGTATTCCCCATACCACTAAACAGCACAGTTTAATTATCTGGGTTCTGAGTGTGAACAATAATCTGAGTATTCCACTTTTATTTTATTTGTTTTTTCTAACAAATAAATACTTTTCCGTGGGAAGATATTCGCTGGTCGAGGTTGGGTCCATGTGCGATTGGGTGTCAGTTACTGTTGTCAGTCCCTGCGCCAGAAAACAGTCCTACGCAGAGTTGGGAATTGGTAAGTGACCCCATCAGCGGGAGGTCACAGATCAGTTAAGACTACCATTGGAAGTACAACCCTGTTGGTCAGTCTTGGTGGTCAGTGCCATTCCCGTGACCCTGTCAAGTATGTTAACTTGTTCAGGTTGGGAATCAGCACCACATTCCATATCTGAGTAGACTAGTGAATGGTCTTCAGCCTTTGAGCACTTTCGTGTTTACCTTGTTGTGTGAAAAGAATCTTATGGAATGGGGGAAGAAAGTTCAGCCAGTGCAGGGAATTGCAAGTTGCCTGTCACTGAGCTCAATATTGGAGAAGTAGGTAAGGCTGCAGAGGCAGCTCGGTTGCGGTTGGAACAGATGGAGAAGCATAAGGAAGGAAGGTCGAGACAATCCAAGGAAGTGCGGAGGGAGAAACACACCTCCTGGGATGAAAGTTTGACTTTGATGGTGGACAAATTGTCCATCATCGAAACCAAACTCTCCTCCCTTGCAGATTCCTTTGATCGTTTTGTGGCAATTGTTAATCTATGTTCCCTCCCTACTCCTACTCCTCCTACTCCCACTACTCCTACTCCTATTGCTACACCCCATTCCCATGCAAGGTCCTCTGCTGCTGCATCATCCCAAGCCAGTAGCCCCAAGAGCAGACCGGCTACACCTCCAAAGGTGCAGTCCCTGCAGCTTGTGGCAGGGCACCCTGTGACTTCTGAGGCTAAAGTGGCTGCAGGCCTAGGCCAGCAGAAATCGTAGCGCCCCAAGACAGTCCAACCTGAAACATTCACTGGGGACAACCCCAAAGTGGATTGCCTCGATGAGATAGTACCTCAAGGAACTCACTTGCCAAGAGGTAAACAAGGTGCAGTCCACGGTGGCCCGTTTGGGAGGGCCTGCGCTTCAGTGGGCTACTTCTGAGGCCAATAAGGCCCAGAAACAGTGGACCACATATTTAAGGGTCTGGAGGAGAGGTTCGCCAATCGAGAGAGAGCCAAGGAAGCTGCTGCAGAGTTTGTGAGGTTAGGCCAGTCACAATGACAGGGATCCCTCTCCAAGCTCTACGCAGTTTGGGAAAGGCTAACCTCTACCCCTGGCTTATCAATGTCTGACCAGGAGAAATTGAAATTGTTTATCCAAGCTACCCGGATAGCCTATGTACAAACCCTGTTTACCGCAGGTCACAAGGACTGGAGGGCCTTTGGCAGAGCAGCCGTGGATCTGGACGCCAAACTCCAAATCCAATCCATTTCCCAAAAGTGAAGCACCTCCCCTTCTCAGAGTCAGAGGAAGAGTAAAGGGAGGTGGCACGTGATGGAGTCTGAGGAAGACTCTGCAGGCTTTGGCCAGAGAGAATCGACTCCCTCAGCTGGTCAGGTGCAGGAGGCTTCCCAGATCAGGTTTTTCCGACTTTGGCTCAGAAACTGTTGAGCGCCATCAAGGGCGACAATCAGATTCAGAGACAAAGGTCCCCCTCTCCTAAAGGGTTTGGCGAACGCCCCAGTAGGCTGCAGAAACAGAACCTGCCTAAGTTTGCCAAATGTCCAGCTAACCCTATGGACCCTTCCACCCTCCCATGGAGAGACTTGCGTATCTCGGACGAGCAAGGCAAACGAGGAAGGATGTCGGTGTCTGCCTCAGATGTGTTGGGCAGCACTTTGTCAAGTATTGCCCTTCATGGGGCAACCACTACACTGCAACCTGACCTAGTCACCAGTGGATTCTGCTGGACTGAGTATCCTTTTGTTGAAGAAGGATCAGGTGCAGTTTGGTTGTTTGTAACTTACCTGTGTGTGCTCAGTTGATGGAAACCTCCTCCTGGTATAACTACCTTGAGCCTGACTCCTTCACTGATCCCATAGGTTTGTCTACGCATCCTCTGTGCTTGAGAATGAGTACGCTAAGTTTCGGGCTTATTCAAGTTTCTCAAACATTGCTGATTGACAGACTGTTAATTGGACTGAATTCATCTTCTCTTGACGAAGAATCAGCCCTAAGATTGCTTTCAGTCTGACAAGAATTCCAATGTGAGTTTACATTGAATCCTTGTCTGGCTACCTCATTGTACTTCCTGTGAGTGGCATTCACTGTCTAATCACGTTCATGTTCTCACACTGAACTGCACTCATTGGATGGATGACCTGTGTTTGAGACAGAGTATGTTTAGTACAAATCTCACCTCGAATTCTCCTACACGGTCCCAAGTTTTGCTCTTTCGGGTAGAAATCAGATTTTCATTGTTTCTCTGTAGTCGCACACTTGTAGCGACAGTGTTCTGAATTTTACCTATAGAGTTGCAAATCCTTTTAACCACTGGGCTTTGTCCTAATATGTCTCAGCCTGATTGGCCAGAGTCAAATCTGT